ATGAATGGATGTCCAGAACTCCCTAACCTTAAAACATTGTGAGTGCAACAATGAATGGATGTCCAGAGCTCCCTAACCTTAAAACATTGTGAGTGTAACAATGAGTGAATGTCCATAGCTCCCTAACCTTAAAACAGTGCTTGAGCAACAATGAATGAATGTTTTAAAGAGAACAGCGAAGTAAGGGGGGAGAGGAGAGTGCTAGGGAGGAAAATATGCAACAGTGAATGAATAGAAATCCAAGTTTTCTGTAAACTTTCGTTAAAATCACAATAGAAAATCTGACGGTACACGTAAAAATAATACAATAAAAATTAAAAAAAATTTAAAAAAATCACAATAGAAAATTATATAAAAAATAAAGACCAAGGTGTATGTTAAAAACAAAACAAAACAAAAAAACCAAAAACAAAACCAAAGCCCCCTCAAAAAACCCCTCAGCAACAACAACAACAAAACCCCCACAATGCCTAGAATTTAAGCGGTTGTCAAGAGCACATACCATGAACTGCCAAGAGAACAAAAACCTCTGTCTTAGGGTGAAACCACGTTTCTCCCTGGAGGCTAGGATTTTGAAGCTCTGTTTGACATACACGGGGCTCGTGGCCAGGAGGGATTAGCCCTTGGAGAAGAGCATCATGCTTGGAAGGGTGGAGGGATAGAGCAGGAGAGGAAGACCCCGAATGAAATGGATTGATAGTAACTGGGGCAATGGGGGTTAGGTGTGTCAGAATCAGTGAGACTGGCTCAGGACAGGGCAGGGTTCAGAGCTTATCATATAAGTCATGATTGACTCGAGGACACATTACAACTCTAACAAGGGCTCCGAGAGGGTGGCATAGGACCCCGAAGCAGAGCCAGAGCCGGAGACCCTGTGGCTTGTTGCTGACCTCCAGGGGTGGGTCAGGAGCGGCTCTGTTTGCAGCAACACTGACTGTTACTTCTGGTGGCTGTTGTTTAGGTCTCGAATCCAGAAGACCCAGCTCCCCACTCATCGACATTAAACCCATTGAGTTTGGCGTTCTCAGCGCCAAGAAGGAGCCCATCCAGCCCTCCGTGCTGCGGCGGACCTACACACCTGACGACTACTTCCGCAAGTTTGAGCCCCGCCTGTATTCCCTGGACTCCAGCAGTGATGATGTGGACTCCCTGACGGACGAGGAGATCCTGTCCAGGTACCAGCTGGGCATGCTGCACTTCAGCACCCAGTATGACTTGCTGCACAACCACCTGGCCGTCAGGGTGATTGAGGCCAGGGACCTGCCGCCCCCCATCTCCTACGATGGCTCACGCCAGGACATGGCCCACTCGAATCCCTACGTCAAGATCTGCCTGCTGCCGGACCAGAAGAACTCTAAGCAGACGGGGGTCAAGCGCAAGACCCAGAAGCCAGTGTTCGAGGAGCGCTACACCTTTGAGATCCCCTTCCTTGAGGCCCAGAGGAGGACCCTGCTTCTCACCGTAGTGGATTTTGACAAGTTCTCACGCCACTGCGTCATTGGGAAGGTGTCCGTCCCTCTGTGCGAGGTCGACCTGGTGAAAGGTGGGCACTGGTGGAAAGCGCTGATTCCCAGTTCTCAGGTAAGCAAGCGGCTTGCGGCCACTCTTCTGGGGAGCTTAAAAATAAATTAATCTTAAAAGTTCTTTTGATCTGGCTTTTTGCAACTTTAAATCTTGAGATTATCTTAGACTCACTAGGAAGCTACACAAACAGAGTGCTGTGTACTCTTCATCCGGCTTCCCCCAATGCTAAGATGATTAGCAGCCTCGGTGTATTATCAGTGCCAGGAAATTGACAATGGCTCCATACTGCTAACAGAGCTCTGCCTGGTATTCTGTGTCACCGGTGCTTAAATGCACCATTCTCTCCTATTTTCTTCTTCTTTCCTCTTTTTGTTATTTTGCTATGTGTCCAGAGACATTTTAGCTAGTGTGTAGATTCCTCCCACGACCCTGGGAGAGTCTGTGATCGATGCTGGGTTATTTAATAAGAAGAGTGATTGGGGTATGAAGCTATCAGTCACTTTGACTTTCAGAAATTGTTTTGGAAAAACACCTCCCCCCCAAAAAAAATGAAGGCATTGAGAACAATATGACAAATGGATGTTTTCCAGGCAAATTGTTGAACTGTGTTCTTTCTCTCTTTCCTGCCTGGGAAGGGGGGATGCATTTGGCCATTTGGGGAGCCTCCCACGGATTAGCTTCTGATTTGGAGGGCTTTTTGAACCCCTCTTGTGGGTGTTCCTGTGTATTAGCGTTATATCCATGGGTTTACTGTGGGCAGAAGGGTGTGTTGGGGGATTTAAATGGCTGTGGGTGACCAGGGCTCACTTGCTCTAACATTGGGGAGATTACTATATATGATGGCTTGAGGCTTAAATATGCTTAAAGCCAAAGCTTCTAGACCTCTCAGACTGACAGCCGGTGTACCATCACTTTCACCACACTCTGTTGGTCGCTTCAACCCAGATTTAGGGGTGAGGAAGGGGAGTCTTGATGGGAGGAATGGAGTGTGCATGGCAGGATGGTAGGATTGCATGGTGTCCACTTCTGGAGGCAGTGTCTATGCTGGCAGGCGCTTAAGAGCAGGAGCTATGTCCCCAGCACATGGCATGGAGTCTGGGGTGCTCTGCATGCTGACTCTATTTACTGAATAAAAAATTATCAAAATTATGACATTGCAGTAGAAAATAAAATCGAGGCAAGGAGGAGAAGTGGGGTGGTAAGCATCCCTCTTGCTCCCTGAAACATGAACGTGTTCCCAGTGGTGTCTGATTCAGGCCAGGGGTAACGTTTCCCTGGCTCTGTCGGCTCCTGGAAAGAATCCAGGCATCATGTGTGAACATTAGGGTTAGGATTCTACTGGGGGAATGCTTGGAATTCCTATCTTAGCTGATCTTCCTGATATTAGTTGATGCCTTCTGGTGAAACAAAATCCCCTGTAAGCCAGTAACAGAAATTGATGATCTGTTGAATATGTGATTGATAAATCAAGGTTAAGATGGGAACTTCTTTTACCTTTTTTTTTTTAAGATGGGATTTTTTTTTATTTTCCCCTTTTAATTTTTATTTTACAGTGGTTTTTCTACAAAATTTGTATACATCATGTTTCACACTTTCCTTCATTCACAGTGTGTTTCTGGACTTGAGGGGAAGGATTGTATAACAATGAAAAAATTTTCTTTCACTTTTCAAAGAGAAGAGTGAACTGAGGCGGGGACAGGGAGAAAAGTGCAACACTGAATGAATGGAAATCCAAAGTCTCTGTAAATTTTCATTAAAATTAATAATAAAAACCCTCCAAACAAATGAACAAAAAAAGATGGAAAATTCTTATACTTCATTTTATCAGCATTGGAAAAGGGCTGGAACAGAACCGATAGACAGTTTGTGGTTTCACACAGTATTGTCTTGAACAGTGAAAGTGATTATGGTTTACCTTATACAGGGGCTCCAGTTTGGTCTTTGAAGTCTGTCTCCTGAAACTGAATTCTTCTAAAGAGCAAGATGCTCACAGCAGTGGTTTTTACCAGTTTCTGTAGACCGTTGTTTGACTGAAATGGGGCTTTTTTGGTTTACAAGCTCTTTCTAAAATATACATAAGAGCAAATTACCTAGGTGCTCACCAGGGGAATTAAAAGAAATAATTCCTCCCCACTGTGCACGTAGTTGCAGTGACCTAGCAGAGAGATACAGGGACGTGCTGTTGAGTGGGCCAGGATAGGGCAGGATCCCAAGACGTTGTTTTTGGGGCCACTGTAAGTCATACTGACTCCATAGTGTCTGTCAACACAATCGCTGCTTAACGAATAGCCTAAAAACTTAGTAACTCAAAACCACAGTGGCTGTTTACTTACACCTGTCAGTGAGGTGGTTCTTCTACTGCTAACCAAAAGATTGTTCATTTGAGTCCCCCCAGAGGCTCCTCATAAGAAAGGTATGGTAATCAAGGTCTGAAGATCAGCCACTGAAAACTGTATAGAGCACTTGTCTGTTCTGATGGGGTCACCGTGGGTCAGGATCACCTCAGTGGTTTGGTTTTAGTATATTGATCAGAAGCCCAAAAGTCAAGGGGAAAGTAGACTATACTTCTTGTTAAAGGAGTAACATGATCACATTGTAAATGACGATATGGGAATGATGATACTATATACTCTGTCACATAGATCTATGTCCTCTAGGGCTGCCTTGGACAGCTGTGCAGGTTGTACACTGCACAAACACAGGAGTTCCTCATTCCTGCAGACTGTAATGTGGATGCCTTTGACGTGTGGTTTTGGCGAAGAGTATTGAATGTATGAATGGCAAAAAAATCCCTGAACACATTGATGTTGGAAGAATTACAAGCTGGAGTGTTCTTTGGAGGCAAGGCGGGTGAGACTTTGTCTCACATACTTTGGACGTATCTTTAGGAGGATTCAGTCCATGAAAAAGGACCTCATGCTTGGAAAGTTGGGGGATCAGAGATGGACAGGAAGATCCTGAACACAATAGATTACACCAGGGGATCTGAGTATAGCAGAGATTGTAAGGATGGCACAGGGTTGGGCAAGGTTTGGATCTGTTTAGATCTAATTTAGATTCGCTTTGAGTCAGAATCAGTTTGACAGCAGCTAACAAGAACATAATGTAAATGGTCCCCTTGAATTATGGCATGCACAGCCTTGTACTTCGGCCCAGACTCTTCAGGATTTTGAGAGTATAAGTGGCCTAGAACGGTGTCAGCAGTGCAAGTGAGGAGCTGGCTTGGTACCAGCAATGGTAGAACACTCAATGGCAGACAGCTTTGTGTTACCAGGCAGATAGCTTGGCAGTCAGACAGGCATTCTGATTCTGTCTCCTAACTCTGTGAACTCAAAGTCCTTGAGCCTCCATTTTCCCATCTGTGAAATGGAGACAGTAAAATAGTTCTTTTTATTTGATGCCTTTGAGCTGTGGTGCTGAAGAAGAGTATTGAGAATACCATGGACTGCTAGGAAAACAAACATATTTGTCCTGGAAAGGGTTAAACCAGGTGGCTCTTTGGAGGCAAGGGTTCTGAGGCTTCGTCTGACATACTTTGGACATGTTGTAAGGAGAGACCGGTCCTTGGAGAAGGACATCATGCTTGGGAGGGTGGAGGGACAGCGCAGGAGGGGAAGGCCCTCTATGAGGTGGATTGATTCAGTGACTGGGATAATCAGGATGGGAGTGTCAGAGACAATGAGATTGGCACAGGACAGAGCAGAGTTTAGGGCTGTTGTACATAGGGTCGCTATGAGTCGCAAGCGACTCGACGGCACATCAACAACAACAACATATTACATCATTTCCAGTTCAAATTTTTTTCACAAATATTGTCTTAGTCTGGATTCTCTGGAGACACAAAACCAGTGAAGCGTGTATATACAGGGAAAGATTTATGTCAAGGAAATGGCTCACATGCATGTAAAGGCTGGCAGGTCCTAAGGTAATTGGTTCAATGTCAGGATAGAGGCTTCTTCTGACTCAAATAACTGCAGAGGCTGACAAATCCAAGATCAACATGTCAGACAGAAGGCTGTTGGCTTCTGAGACTGATAAATCCAAGTTCAGCAGGCAGCCCACTGGGTCAAGTCCAAACATTGAGAGTTCACAGTTCAAACCCACAAGATGCCCCATTGGAGGAGGAGAGGCAATCTCCTCCTGTGCTTGATGGATCCAATTCGATGGCACACAACAAGGAAACAAAAACCACACCAAAAAACACAAAAAAACTTTCAGAGGTCATTTGGTGATGAACCAGATGCAGGATCCCAAAGTAGCAGAAAATGAGTTTTGCCAGATTTCTGTGTATATTTGGTATAGGCCATAACACCAAAGGAATTCCTTTTCAACTGATACATTGCTCATAGCAGTTCTCATCATGAAAGTGCCTTCATGATATGCAATCTCACAAGGGGATGACTGCATCATAATTGCCAAACCAGAGAATCATGGGCAGCCAGGTTAACAAGAACCTTAAACATCACACTAGATACACTAATCATGTTACACAACCGTCACCTTTATCTGTCACTATGTTTAACATCATTATAAACAGAAACTCACTGCTTCCTAAGCTATGATTCTCTCCCCCCAACCTGTGATAACTAATAATAAGTTGGTCCATAAAATAGTGTAATGGATTGAATGGTATCTCCCAAAAGCATTTTTGTCTGAGTCATGATCTGAAGTGGCAGCTATGCTGTGATGTAATTTAGAAGTTATATACTGATGTGGTCATCTTCCATTCTGTGAGCTGATATGATCAGCCAGTCATTTGTAAGGGGGTTAAGGTAGAATACCCTTACTCAGTTCACAACCTGATCAGATGCAAAAGGAATTTCTCTGAAGTACACTTCTTGTTGCCTTTTAATTTTACAAGAGATATGTGAGCAGAGGAAGGATCATATTCCCACCAAGAAAGAAGAACTGGGAGTGGAGTGTGCCCTTCGGGTTCAGGGTCCCTGTGCTGAGAACCTTCTCAACCCAGAGAATGTTGTGGTCAAGACACATAGAGATCTTCAGGAATCACTGAGACAGAAATGTTGAAAAGATGAAAGGACACTCCTTTAGAGCTG